TACGAGCCCCAACTTTTCTACATGCAAGTTATTTTATTATTGCAAGCAAGTTTATTATTATTAATACAGATTTTTAGGTAAGATTGGACGTAGTCATTTATTTTGTCAGTGTGCTTGTTTTAACAAGAGAAATAGTCGACTTTCACTAATAACACAACACAGTTAACTTAACGTTACATACCCCTGCATCCATATGAAGATTTTGTTCTGCAGGTTCGTCGTCGTCTTTTTCAAATCGCTCACTCTGGCTCGAATATGTAAGACAAGTCTTCCATTGTTGACATTTTGTTAACGAGTGACTAAAAATGTTCTTTGAAGCTATAGTATATAATCGTATATCTCTTATCAAACTACAATAATGGCCGAACGCGGGAGTTGAACCGAGTGTGAACTCGGCGACCTGGAGAGCGGGCGGGGAAGACGCAACTCCATTTTATTTAAAGGGGCCGCTTTGAAACGGGCCTGTGGAGCTAAATGAGGAATTCAGACCCAAGCATTGCAGTTATGCTTTATATAGACCACAAATGTATGATTTATAAGTAAAAATGAATGATTTAAAAGCATGATATGTACCCTTTAACATTAATGTTATATTAGTATGTTTTCGAAATATAAAATACACTTTACAATGTTGTAATATTGTAACACTTTACAATGAGGTTCATTAGTTACTGCATTAACTAACATGATTAATACTTTTGTAACAGTATTTATTAGTCTTTGTTAATGTTAGTTAATAAAAATACAGCTGTTAATTTTTTGTTCATGTTAGTTCACAGTGCATGAACTAATGTTAATACATGGCTTGGTTGAATTGTAATGTAGAATGTGGTCTGTTATTTCTTGATAACTAACCACTGCTAAGTATAACACAAAGTTGCCACGAAAAACAGAGCCTTGCCATGGACACAGTTTTGTTCACTCAGGAGGATAAACTCCTTTAAACTCTGCTTCGCGTCGGGGTCCTGATCAGCCTGTCGAGGTTGTATTCGCTATAACAACCGCCTCACTCTACATTATCCCGCTTATTACATGGCTAATTACCAAATGAATCAATAATTTGAGATAATAATAACTACCGTAACAAATGTAGCTATTGCTCATTGTTAGATTGAAGCATCGAAAATACATTTTGTGAAATTTTTACATTTCATACATTTTGGTCCAAAAATAACAAAAACTACAACTTTATTCAGGTATTGTATTCTCTTCCGGTTCTGTTGAGGGTGAGTCATTAATGACATAATTTTCATTTTTGGGTGAACTAACCCTTTAAATCAATACCATGATAATACAATCATATCATGATTAAAGCTTCAGCAATTATCCTTAAATTAAAATTTGATACCATCACATAGTATACACTTACCTTTTTGTGTCCACTGATCCATTTTCCTTAGCTTCCATGACTGCTGGATTAAAAAAAAAATCTCAATAGATTCCAATTCAATACATGCAATTATAGTCCATCATCACAAGCTCTTAGTAGTTCTCTAAGAAATACTATAGTATGGGAGATGCTCTGTTTTCATTTAATTAATTTCATATTTTCAATTCATTCATTCATATTTACAAATTCTGATAAATTCTTGATGTGCAACGAGATGTTCTGCTTTGATATGTACACTAATAAGTATCTTATTAATCTGATCAACAATTGATCTATCACTTACCTGTCTGTCAGAGAGGAGAGACTGCTCTATTCCATTTGATGTGTTCAGTTGTATCCTCATGACCTTCATCAGTCTCCCGCTGTGCAAAAGTGCCCCATTTTCCATACACTTACACAAACATCCAAGCTTCTGGATAAATCTTTGTGTAGTCAGAGAATTGATTCTGCAAATAATGATAATAATTATATAATCTGATTCTGAGCAATGAAAAAAGAATGATCAAGCATTCTTTCACTTAACTCAAACGATATTTTAAGCACTGTGATACTTCAGGTGAGTAATAAACCAAAAAGATCAGGACCAACAAAGAGGCTAGACATTGTTAAATAGAGGAAACTACAATACATTGCAAGGTAATCTGTCAGAAAACAGCTTAAATCAAATTATTAGCAAAGTAGGCTTCTATTTTATTATTATTATTATTATTATATAAAGAAACTCAATGTTGTTTTTAGGGTTGAGAACAGTTTAAATTACATGCGAAACAGTTATAAAGGAAATTAAAATAAGCGTTTCCCTTGCTGGTTTGACAGGTTCCGTGTCTGTGAAGAGAAACGCGATAAACAAAATGACAGCCATGTATATTTTTTATCACAGAGAAGTGATTTTTAATTCTAAATAAAACATCTAATAATTTACTGTAAGTAAAGTATTTTTAATAACTGAAAAATACCGTATGCAATATTTTAGTCTTGCTATAAATATCTGTAACTGTACCACTGAAGCTGTATCTGACAGGCTAAACAGAAGTATTTTTCAACAAAACATATATTAAATATATTACAAGTATTTTTTTTTGTTTTGTTTTTTTGATGAATTTCAACAGTATGATGATTAATAAAGCGATGATGAACTCATTAGCCAGCTAGCTTCCTATAACTCCACATTTATGACATTTGCCGTCATTCTAAGAAAACAAAACGACACTTTTCAATTGTTTGGATGAAAAACTTTTATCTTACCAATTTGTTTTATGATTGGATGATTTATGTAGATGGCTTGGATGTTATTGATTCCCGATCATTGGAACAATATTACGCTTTTTTCGCCCAGCACAATCCGACAAATGCAGGAACGGGGGATCGTGGGTAATGTAGTCTCGAACGATGGGAAATGTAGTTGTTCACAAGCATGGATAGATTAATCAACCTGATAGCCTATTTTTACCTGAGAAATCAATGCAACAGGAATAAGCCGTTTTACCACTTGATTTTTATCCAGGATTGTAACAGTATTTGACTATTTATTATATTATATTATATTATATTATATTATATTAGGTTATATTATATTATATTATATTATCAATGCGATTTTCTCTGCAAGTCCACTTATTGATGAAAAAAAGCAATACAACTAGTTACAACAGGATTCTAACACCAACTAAAAAACATCCTAGCGTCCCAGGGCTTAAATTGAGTGGGGAAGTAAAATCATTCACAAACATAAGGACAAATAAAAGACAAAGAAAATACACTGACATTTAGCATTGGATATTGGATATTGGATATACAAGGCAATGCAAATAATTGTATTTTATTCAGTGTCAAAATAATCGGTCACAAAATTGTACAGCAGATATAAAAATAATAGTAAAAAAAAAAAAAAAAAAAAAAAACTTCACATGAAATATCAGGATCATATACTGTATGATTGAGCTTTATACTTTATACTTTTATTTGGGGATCTGTTTTCCAAAGCTGGAGGAAAAAAAAAACAAAAAACATACAAACAAACAATTTTACATTAATCTTTCTTTACCTTTTCACATTTCTTAACAGCCACAGACAGGCTTTCTTCAGCATATACACATATTTTACAGTTATCACGGCACACACACACACAAACACACACACAGGCGGGCGGAAAAGAGAATTGAGCTTTTTCATATATTAATACTGAACATATAGCCTACTTTTCTTTAATGTGTAAAAGACAGGGGGAAAATGCAGCAGAGTTTCATTTAGCCCCCCCCCCCCCCAAAAAAAAAAAAAAAAAAAACTGCTAAAAATTTTAAAATAGGCTTTATTCAATGTATAATTTAACATAATAAAGTAAAACTTTTATGTCTAATTAAAAAAAAAGAAGAAGAAGAAAAACAAACCTTTTTAAAGCTCCTAATAAAGCTTTTACATGCAGGTACCCTAGAACTCCAAGAACTCTTTTGTACATTTCTCTGTGACAGATACCCGTATGTTTTCCTCATCATATTCATCAAAGTTACTTGTGTCTCCAGGCCCTCTGCACTTTGGTATGATCGGAGCATCGACCTGTAAAATTCATGAAGAAATAAAGAGCAGTTCTAAAGATCCATTCAGAAATTTGAATCCTGAAAGTATGAATACGGTGTTAAAGAACAAAAGGCCACACCTTCTTCTCATAGATTGCGATCCAGTCTGTCGTAGCAAACCATCTGTGGTTTTTGATGTCACTGACTCCATTTTTCAAATTGCCAAAGCGCTTTGTGAGGTCCACTTGCAGCAGATTGCGCAGAACATCCTTCAGGTCTGAACTGAAGTGTGAGGGGAATCGTACCTGTGCAAAACAAGTATTCACATCTGAATGTTTGATATTTATCCAATAATCTCTAATTATGTTTTCACGCATTGTTGTAGAAGTCAGGAAATGTTGAAAACATCTGTAGAACTTTTGTGTGTCGAATGCCCATGTTAACATGTTTATTTTGGTCCCAAAAATATATGATGACATGATATTATTTATTATTATTATTATTATTATTTATTGAATACTGATGAAGCAATAAATAGTGTGTAAAATAAATAGAAATTGTTATATACTGTAGATGGGGCCAACACTAAGAGGGAATTCCACTGACAACTATGCTGAAAAACAAATTGTGCTAAAAAATGTGCAAACAGCCACTCAGAACATCTTAACAATGAGCAAAGCAAAATCCTGGCAACTACCCAGAATACTCACACATTTTGCCACTCGACGCTCAAATAAAATTTCAATAAAGGAATCCATAAAGTATTATTTAGTAAATTTTCCTCATCCTCTCCTCAGGTCATTTGGAGCCAAAAATCTTTTTTTTATTTTTCATTTTTAAAAATTGAGTGTTCATCAGAGTGGTTCAAGACTTTAGGACAAACTTACTGGTTTTCGAAGAGTTTATGTGGTTGTAATAAAAATAATAACAAATCCTTCCCTTGCGTGCGAATTTGACCACCATAGAAGGATCGAAAATGGATTTTTTTTTTTTAAATTGGTAAAAAATACAAAAAGATGAATTCCCAAGTATTGTTATAATTGCAATACAATTATAACAGCATTTTTTTAAAATAAAATTTAACTTAAATTATCAATATACACTTCAGACATGCACGTCAGTATAAACACTAACCTAAAAGTGCTCAAAATTTACCAAAAAAATAATTTTATTATGTCTAAATTGTAAGTCGCTGAATAAAAAATAAAAACGATCTGCTAAATGACTAAATATATGGTAAATATCTAAATATATACATGAGTGCATACTGAAGAAAAAAAAAACTGAGGAAAAATGACTTGGGGATCCATGGGGAACAGTACATTTGCACCATATATTATAGAGCTATAAGGCCATCTAGTGGCAAGAGTTATGAAATATCATGTAATTTATTTCCCCACAAGAGGTCGGCAGAGGCACCCAATGTTTCAAACCTTTTAGAGAGTTATTTTGTATTTAAAGGCCACATTGGCCACAAAATGTGTACACAATGTTTGTAACATACTTTGGTTACAATTTCTCAATAGTTGTATAAAACACCATTTTTACCTCCTCAAAATAGCTGTAATAGATTGATAATTGCAAGTGGTATAATATTACAATAACAATAAGAACAGCAAATACAATGTAATATCAATTGCAAAATAATATAGACAATATGAAAAAAAAATATGAAACTATAATATTGATCATTAAACTGACATTTAACAAAAATATTTGTGTCATTTTGTGAGTTATTTTATATAGGCCTACAGTGGAGAGAATGTGTATATATAAAATAATTTATATATTTTAAAATATTCCTACATAGGCTATATAAAATAAAATGTCACAACCATGTCTCTTTTTGTGAGACCAAAGATCACCCGTTAGATATACACAAGACGATTTTTTATCTCATGTTTAACCACTAAACTAGAGACATCAGAACCAGCGGCAAAGATGAGCGCATGAGCACCTGGTGAACTTCTGGATATCACAACTCTGAAAACGTCAGATCAAATTTTTAAATAGGCAATATCTTTACAAATAAACCAAAGATTTGAGCTTTAAACAACTACATTGTCGAATGAAAACTATTAAAACTACATTTCGTGACACAGTAGGCTAGTATTTTTAAATTCGCAGCTTTTCTCCTCTGAACGTTACTATTAATGATATCATGACCAAATACAACCAGAAACAAATGTTCAGTCTTGATTGTGAAAGATAATTCCTCGAGACTTGTTTTCATTTGTGTGGCAATTTGGAGCCCCAAGCAGCACACGAAACATGCATTTTTCTCAATTCTCGTTATGAGAAGTATGGGAAAGGGCGGAGATATGCTAATACTGGACAGTCTATTAGAGGTCGTGGACGGAACATGAGCAATATGAAATCATTGAGAGTGTTTAGGCTTTTTGAGGATAAAAAAAGGAGTGAATGATTTTTTTTTTCATTGTATGGTGGGGGTGTGTCCACACACTGCAAAGACCAAACACCATATAAAAGTGAATTTTGCATCCGATGACCACTTTAAAGGAGCAATGTGTGACTTTTAGCGACATCTAGTGGTTCGGTTGCGAGTTTGCACCAGGTTTGCACTAAGGGCTCAGCCCACTGCTCACCCCTCCCTTTCGAAGAAGCTACGGTTGCTAAAACGGGACAAACATCTGGTCGGCTGAGACAGCAGAGAATAGCCAGAGTAAGCCAAGAGTGTGTAACATTGTCACTGTTTCTGTACCACAGTCCATTATAAACCACATCATGAATACTGTTTACAAAGCCATAGTCAGGTGAGGATCAAGGGTTTTAATATATAATTTAATATAATAATAATAATCAGCTGATTGTCTCACAAACGTAACCAGCAGCACATTTCTCCACACATACTGTAGCAAACCCATAATACAGCGAGGGAGCAGCTATATATTTTTTCTAACAGGGTAGTAATAGTTTAGCTGGCTAATATGAGCTGTTACTGTGGCTGAGCTGGGACGCGTCTGCATGAGTCCAAAGGTCGGAAGTGCGCGCGCTGTTACAATCATGTCATCTTCGCATCCCATAGATACTATTTACTACACACAATAGGCTTTTTTCTCTGATTTTGAAAACTCTTCGTGATCGACTTTAGTGATCTAAAAGTCTCTATCGACGGGTTAGTGATTCCTGTAACGTACTGTTTTACGGTCAATGACATGAATACTAATCATCAGCTGTCTCACGAACGTAACAGCACATCTATCCCCAACATAACAAACCCATAACACAGCGAGGGAGAACTAAGTTACATGAAACAATCCCAACTACATATTTTACACCACTCACAAGGGAAAAGTCACTACTCACGGAGTGTAAGGCTAGCTTCCAGCTTTCCGCTACTTCTCTTTCAAGGTAGTGATGAAACGCGTTCTGTAGCGCTGTTTGTTCGCGTTCGGCTACGGTAGGAATATGACGTCACAACATGGCGACCTTCATAGAAGGGGATTCCCTCGGTTATGGAGCTATTAATGTCTCATTCTAAGGTAATAAAAACATTACGGCTAATTAAGTAAGTTCTTTATACACCACTGAAAACATAGTTATGGATGTCATATTGCATTTCTGTTAATAGATACTCAACTTTGTTACACATTGCACCTTTAAATGAAAGAATGTGCAGAATGTGCTTCAATTATTTTACTAAATTAAATTATTGATAAAGTCTAGTAATTTAGAGGTAAATAATAATTATATATATAATTATATTCAAAAAAATGCATTAAATGAAATGAAATTATGAAATGAAATTATAAGCTTTCTGGGCAAAAAAAATAAAAAAATAAAAATAAAAAATGATTAAGTAAAATTTTAGGACCCACGAGGGAAGGAATTGTTGGAGAGGATGAGATTCATTATGTTTTTTTTCTTTTGATGTCTTTAATTCTTCTTACCTTGCCAGATACGATTTTCTCATAGATCTGAATAGGTTGATCAGCGAAGAAAGGTGGATATCCAGCAGCCATTTCATAGATCAGAACACCCAATGCCCACCAGTCAACAGCTTTGTTGTAGCCCTAACAAAGAAAAAGAGCAAACACTGAGACCTCGTTGAACTCCTAAGGAGGAAGAACTACCGGCGTGTTTTCTTACCTTGCTGAGAATGATCTCTGGTGCCAGGTACTCGGGTGTACCGCACAATGTCCAAGTTCTGCCTTTCACTCGTTTGGCAAAGCCGAAGTCTGTTACCTTAATCACGTTCAAACATAAGAATTATGGATGAAGCTAGTTAAAATAATATATAAATTCAAGACCAAAGTGAAAGTAAAATTTTATCGGAAGATCAGCAGCCAAGTGACTGGCACACCTGGATGTATCCCTGATGATCAATGAGCAAGTTTTCAGGTTTCAGGTCCCTGTAGATAAGGTCTAGAGTATGTAGATACTCGAACGTCAGAACAATCTGAGCAGCATAGAAACGTGCATTCTGCTCACTATAAGGAAGAAAAAAAAAACGTTATTTCAAAAGTTATTTCATTGATAAAGAATGGAAGAAGGCTAAAGGCTCATAATAAAGAGTTGTATTAGTTTTTAAGCGGTTCACCTGAATCTTCCAATCCGTCTTAAATGTGAGAACATCTCACCGCCTTGGATATATTCCATGACCATGTACAAATTTGAATTATCCTGTTGATGGAATTGTTTAGAGAAATTATTTCTGTTTCCCCTTTTTTGCAGTACACTTGTCAATGATTCTTCCTACAAAAACACACTTTAACATTGTCTTTCTTCTCAAAATGAATTGCTCCTGTACCTTAAAAGCGCACTCCAGCTTCACAAGGAAAGGAAAGGAAACTGCTTGTAATATTTTCTTCTCATTTAATGTGTGTTCTACCTGTTTGAGCTTCACCACCTGGAAAATAATCAAATGCAGGGATTAAAAAAATAATAATTAATAATATGAAGAAAAACAGGCAACAATTTTAAATGCTAAACAAAATAGATTTCTTTATTTTAATATTTTATGTATTATATGCATATTTCACCTAACAATAGAATAAATAAATATAATAAATACAATACAAGGGGATACATTTCTAGGCCCAAAATATATTGTAAAATTATGTTTTATTTATTTCATATTAATATAAATATTTAATATTAATGCAAATTAAATTTGTGTCAAAATAAATAGTTTGAGAAATAGTGATTTCTCAAACTATTTAGAAATAATTTACAAATATATTGTACAATTCTTTAAATTCTACAATTCTTTATTTTTTATTGATTTAATATTAATAGAAATATTAATATTAATGCGGGAACCGCATTATAAAAGTAAATAGTTCTCTTACGAGAGGTTCTCTCGTATCGCGTAAGCTAGCTTACGCTACGGGAAAGATTCATCTTTGCTGAGAAGTTGAAGCCAAAAAATGATTCCATAATTTTGTAATCATTGTCAACGCAGTATCTCTGAGGCAGACCATGAGCGGGGCTAGCTAGCAGCTCATTGGTTCGCTCAGAGAGAATGCACGAACCTATGGGAGAGCGGCGCTGAGCCCGCGGCCAATGAGCGGACGGCGCTCGCTCATTGCGTCAGAGCCCGCCGAAAGGGGCGTGGCTACAGTGTATAAAAGTAGCTCTCCCAGACTCGTTCGTCGATTCTTCATCATTCAGCGAGCTACACGCATCTGCTGTCCTGGGAAGAAGCCGCCGTCGGCGAGAAGGCATCTTCTAGCGAGCTCCGGAGACTGAGGAAGCCGGCCGTCTGCCACCTTCAGCCGCCCAGCAAGCTAGCGCCATCCGACGCCGTATCCTTTTTCACTTATTCCATTCACAAAAGAGCTCGAGCGTCTTTTTCAAGATGCCTCGAATTTCCTGCGGCTCATGCCGCTCTTCACTCGAGGAAGGAGACCGCCACCCCATCTGCGCTCTCTGTCTCGGAGTGGAACACGCAGAGCTCGCCCTCGCCAAAGGAGGATGCGACCACTGCGAGGACCTGCCTCTGTCCGCCCTGCGGGCACGACTGCAGGCGGTCAAAACCGCTCCCGCGCCGCCTCTCACTTCGCCGCGGAAGAAGAAACGCCGCTCCCAGAGGCTGCCGGAGCCCCCTGCGGATCCATGCGGGCCGCCGCCGCCGCCGCCCACCGACCGCTCTCCCTCTCCGCCCCAGCCGGACTTACAGTTGCCGCCGAGTGGCCGCTCTGTCGCCTCAGACGACACCGCGGATGAGAAGGACTCCTGTTCGCTGCACGCTTCTGACAGCGAAGACTGGTCGTCGATTGGCTTGAACTTTTGCGTCTCCTCTCACAGGCCGTCGACCGCCTGGGTCTCGAGTGGTCTCCTCCCCCCGAGCAAACACCGAACCGTATGGATGGTAAATTCCTGCACCGGCGCCCGGCCCCCGCCTGCAGCCGGCCTGCACCATTCCTGCCTGAGCTACATAACGAGCTCACTAAGTCCTGGAATGCCCCTCTCTCGGCTCGAAACCGCTCCGATGTGTCCGCTTCGCTGCGCTCAGTGGACGGAGCAGCGAGAAGGGTTATACCGCCATGCCGCCCGTCGAGGACCTGGTCGCCGCTCATCTTTGCCCGCCCTCTGCTAGATGGCGTTCTTCCCCTACGCTTCCTTCAAAAGCGTGCAGAGCGACCTCTACCTTTCATGCTCGCGCCTATGCTGCCGCCGGACAGGCCGCTTCAGCGCTGCATTCAATGTCAGGCCTCCAGGTGCTTCAGAACGACATCTTGTGCGAAATGGCGAACAGCGGTAGGAACCCGCCCATCCTCTCGGATCTGAGAAGCGCTACGGACCTTTCCCTTCACGCCACTAAAGCCTCCGCACAAGCCCTGGGGAAATGCATGGCCGCCCTCTGTGTCGCTGAGAGACACTTGTGGCTCACGCTTACCGACAAGGGAGATTCAGAACGCGCCGTGTTCCTCAACGCGCCCATCTCTCCGACCGGCCTCTTCGGATCTGCCGTCACGGGCATCGTTGACCGCTTCTCCGAGGTACAGAAAGCGACCCAGGCCATGAACTTGTTCCTACCCCACCACGCTAGCTCTTCGGCAGGCCGCTCTCACGAGCCCCCTGCCAGAACCCCACATCAGCGCCCGCCTCAGCAAGCTCAGCAGCCCCAGCGTAGACAGGGCGGCCGCCCTCGCTCTCGCTCTGACAGCTGCCGCAGACAGCCTCCCCCCCGGGGGCCTCGACCCAAGATCACGCAGAAGCCTGATCAGCAAAAGTCTGCCTAGCACAGCTGAGAAAAAGACGGCTCTCTCCCGCTGCGGCCGGACCGCCGTCAAAGCTTCGCCCTCTGTTAGTCCCCGTCTCCTCGCCGACTACAGTAGAGTTCACCGCCACAAACAAGCCGGTCTTCCTGCCCGCTTGCGAGAGACAAAAAGCCGTTTTCACGGCTACCCAGAGAGTTCACAAAAAGAGCATGAAAGCCTCAAGTGTAAAAAAAGTGCCCACAAGCATGTGTTCACGTATACACACAAGCACCATATGCCCCGGGTCTCACACAGAGCCCATTCGCACGGAGCGGTCACTAACCGCTCTAGCAGCAGAGAACATAAACACGCCCACGAGCCCATGCGCGTGTCCCCCCTCTGCTCGCTCTGTCACACGGCCCATAAACTCCTCTCTGAGTGTAAGTCCCGTTGCCACTCACATTTTAAGCGCGCCCACACCCAGTGTCCAGCCCGCTATGTGCAGCAACCAGGGCAAAATCGCCATTCAACCGCTAGCCGCATGCTGCGAAGCGTGGGAAGCCATCCCCGGCATCTCCCCGTGGGTCTTAAGCATCATAAAGAATGCCTATCGATTACAGTTTCGTCGCCGCCCGCCACGCTCGCGCGTTCGGCTCGAATCCACTGTCAGCCCAGCTGCTATGAACACGCTTCGCTCAGAAATAGCCAAGCTGCTGCAGAAGGGCGCAATAGAGAGAGTCCCGCCATCTATGACCGAGTCGGGGTTCTACGGCCGTTACTTTCTGGTTCCCAAGAAAGACGGCGGCCTCAGGCCGATCTTAGATCTCAGGGCTTTGAACAAAGCGCTCATGAAGAGACCGTTCAAAATGCTCACAGTCAAGAAACTCCTCGCGCACGTCCGCCAGGGGGACTGGTCCATCTCTCTAGACCTGAAAGACGCCTATTTTCAGATCCAGATAAACCCTCATCACAGGCCATTCCTACGTTTCGCCTTCGAGGGTCAGGTTTACCAATATGCCGTTCTCCCGTTCGGCCTATCCTTAGCACCTCGTACGTTCACGAAGTGCATGGATACAGCGCTCGCTCCCCTGCGGAGTCAGGGGCTGCGCATTCTAAACTATCTGGACGACTGGCTGATTCTAGCAGATTCCCAGACGGAGCTTCTGTCGCACCGCGCAGTTCTCCTCAACCATCTGAAAGCGCTGGGACTCTCTGTCAACTGGACAAAGAGCTCTCTCCAGCCCAGTCAAACTATTTCATTCCTTGGAATAGATTTGAACTCTATCACAATGACGGCTCGCTTATCCACACAGCGTGCGCGCGGTGTTCAGCGTCTAGCCGCCTCTTTTCGGATGGGTACCCACACATCCCTGAAATCTTTTCAGAGGATGCTGGGTTATATGGCCTCAGCCTCCGCTGTGCTACAGCTGGGTCTTCTGCACATGCGCCCCCTTCAATTCTGGTTAAAGAGCCGCGTATCCCACCGCGAGTGGACTACGGGCCGCCAGATTATCAAGATTACTTAGACATGTATCTCTGCACTGCAGCCATGGTCAGTAATCGAGTGGTTTCAGAGGGGCGTTACCATGGGAACCTTTTCTCGCCGAAAAGTCATCTCGACAGACGCATCCAACTCGGGTTGGGGTGCGGTCTGCGAGGGCTCACCGGCCGCCGGCCAGTGGTCGAGCCAGGAGAGTTCCCTACACATAAACTGTCTGGAAATGATTGCGGTCGAGAACGCGCTGCTGTTTTTCCTCCCGCGCATACACGGTCATCAACCGTCAGGGCGGGGTCAGATCCAAGAATCTCTTTCATCTGACGCGCCGCATCCTATTGTGGTCCCAGAGTCACCTGCTTTCGCTCAGAGCCCATCTGAACAACGGCCCAGACATGCTGTCCAGGAACCTTGTCTCCCCCAGAGAATGGTCCCTGCACACTCAAACAGTCCAAACATTGTGGCGCCTATTCGGCAGAGCGGAGATAGATCTTTTCGCGTCAGAAGAGAACGCTCACTGCTCGATATTCTTTTCAAAGAGCGAGGACGCGTTAACCCAGGATTGGCCCCGCCGCCCGCTCTATGCTTTTCCCCCGATTTCTCTGCTACCGCAGGTCATTCAGAGAATCAGGGACTCACGCCACTCGGTGCTCCTCATAGCCCCGCGCTGGGAGAATCAGATTTGGTTCCCGGAGCTTACGCAGCTGTCAGACAGCCCCGTGGCCCATTCCAATCAGAGCAGATCTCCTCACTCAAGCCCGCGGCTCGATCTGGCATCCCCATTCACAGCGCTGGGCGCTTCATGCATGGGTGACCAACGACTATGCGTCGAATTGCCAGAAGGGGTTCTGAACACGATCAAACACGCCAGAGCGGAATCTACAAGAAAGCTCTATGCTGCTAAATGGTCTGTGTTCTCTAGATGGTGCACCGACAAAAATTTGGACCCACGGACGTGCGAGTTTTCGTCTTTGCTCGTGTTCCTTCAGGAGATGCTGGATAAGGGCAGGTCCCCATCCACTCTAAAGGTTTACGTGGCAGCCGTCGCGGCGTTCGTTGAACCCCGGCGCGCCCAGTCGTTGGGCAAAGACGAGCTAATCATCCGCTTCCTCAGGGGAGCCAGAAGGATGAACCCCCCTCGCCCCCCCACGGTGCCGGTCTGGGATCTTTCTATAGTCCTAGAAGCTTTAAAAGCCCCACCGTTTGAAC